AATGAAAATGATGGAGGGGCTCCCAATATCCAAAGCTGGAACAATTTGAACAAAATAATAGAATATTGCCCCAGCTTGTTTGGCTCAGTAGATAGAGTGTTGGCCTGAGGAATGAAGGGGCCCAGGTTTGATTCCAGTCAAGGGCACATGCCTGGGTTGTGGGCTCAATCTCCAGTAGGGGGGAGGGGGAATTGCAGGAGGCAGCCAAATGATGATTCTCTCACATCATTGATGTTTGTATCTCTCTCCTTCTCTGAAATCAATACAAATATATTTTAAAAGCAATTTTAAATTATAATCCAGAATGTAAAATTAACATCCTTGAATCCACACTGATATAAATTAATGAATAAATAAATAATGACTTGGGGTATAATAAATCTCCCACACAGAATTCTCAATAATTTATGTACATAGTTTACCCTCAAGAGGTTGAAGCACAAATCCCCATCCCTTATGTATGGGCTACACAGTGATTTTCCTGTAAAGAGAACAGTATGGAAAGGGGAAGTACAGTAACTTTACAGTAGAGAAGCTGACAAATACTACCTCAGCCAGGTGATTAAGGCCAACACTATTGGTGAGAAGCCATATCAAATAGCACAAACCCTTGACATAATGTGATGAGAATGGCACTGTGGACTTCCTCTCCAAAACCGTTAACCCCTGTCTAGTCATGATAAAAATATCAGACAAATGCAAATTGAAGGACCTACCACAAAATACCTGACTAGTATTGCTTAAAACTGTCAAAACCATCAAAGGCAATGAATGTCAGAAACTGTATAGTCCAAGGAGACATGATGATTAAATGCAATGGAGTATCTGGATGGGGTCCTGGGAGGGAGAAAGTCTTCCATAAAAACTAAGAAATCCCCCCAAAGTATTTGTTCATTAGTTGTGCCAAATGTACCATATAGCAACGTTAACAGGGAAAACTGTCTTTGGGGTAAATGGGAGCTTTGTGTAATATTATTGCAACCTTTCTGTAAATCTAAAAGTACTCTGGCATTAAAGTTAACAAGTAGGGATTAGTCTATCTCTAAAATGAAATATGATGCAGCTATAAAAAGGAAAGGATGAGGAAGCTTTCTAAGTATTGCATGGGAAACTGTATATTGTTACTGAGTAAAGCCAGGTGAAGAATTGTGTGCGTTTGCATGTTATATGTGCAAAGAAATGCTCAGAGAATGCAGGGGAAAAGAACCCAATTATCAAAATTTTCTGTAGGGAAGGGTGTGGGAACTGGGCATGTGGGCAACAGGAATTGAAGGAAGTCTTTTCATAATATATGTTCACATGTGATTTTTTGAACCATGTGAATATATCACCTATGCAAAAACTAGATTGTAAAAAGAAAATATATGAAATGAACTTTTAGAAACTCTGAACTGAGTATTCACAAATTAGAAACAGAATTTTAAAAAGTAAAACATTTTCATAAACCTCAATTCCAAATCTGACAAGATATTTCCATTTTTAACTTTTTTCCATAACTTATAACTGACCCAAGACAATTTCTTTTATATGAAACTTTATATTGTTGATACCAATTCAAAAATGAATTTTTAAACTTGAGCAAGTTCCATCTAACTCCATTAACTATGAGAGAGTGAAAGTACATACGTAAAACCTAACCAGAAAAAGGCAAGGGATCTAGTTTTTCCTTCTGGCAAGAAAAAAAAAATCCCCTCAAACCTTTAATCCCAGGAAGGTTATAGTAATAATCAGGAAAGAATGTAATCTTAGCCAAGGGTCCTAGGGAAGAGGTAAAATGCATTATACTCAGAATAAGAGGTGGTGAGTGCTGGGCCCTAGTGAGCATTCCCTCTCAGGGACATCTTAATAGGAAAAGCACTGAGGAGCCCAGTCTGTGCTGTTAGCTGTAGTGTGTTGGTCATTGTTAATACAACCTACATTTTATACTGACTCAGTTTCTGATCTATTTCTTGTCTCAAGCTGGTGCTGTGTTATCTATTTACAAGGCATTCTGCAGACAGTCCACCTGGAATCAGATAGGATCAGCTGAAAGATTATGAAAGATACAGGATTTGTACAGTTGTCCTAACAATATACATTTTGGGGCTTAGTTTTCCAGGGCCTGACCAAGGACAAACTGTAAAGTATTAGACAGACTGGATATTTGGCCTCCCTCCAGGTCTGTGGAACTAGATTGATTCCTCTGTATATAACATGAATATTAGTAAATAACCATAGAATACTTTTATCAAGTTGACTTGTTTTTCCCCAAATTGGTATGATGATAATAATAGTAATAGGTAAAATGTGTGTATGATTACCTTGTGCCTGTCACAGTGTCATCTGCTTTGTCTCATTTAATTCACACATGATCTTCTGAGATAGTTCTGTTATTCTCCCCACTTGGAAAATGAGAAAAATAAATGAGATTCAGGGAGGTTAAATAACTCCTTAAGGTCACAAGGTTCAACCCCCGTGCATGAGAGCTCGTCCTGCTGATTACTATCTCAAATGTGCCTGCCTTTGGGCTGAATTCTAGAAAGCCTTGTACACATGTAAAATACTAGGACATGTATCTTTTCAGTTTACCAAGGGTTTCACATGTGTTTCTTATTGGACCCTCCCAACAGCACTGTCACTCTGAAAATTGATACTACCCTCATTTACAGATAAGGAAAGTGAAACTCAGATCACCTAGCTAGTAAGTGGCAGCTATGAGTTACCATCTTAAGCCTTCCAACTGATTATAAGTCTAGTGTGTTCTTTCATTACCCTAAATTTTCAAAGACAAATTTTATTTCTAACAGCCCTTACTATTCAAATGGTTTAATCTTTCATATTTTAATCACATCACTAAATGTGATTTTAAAAGAGCAAATATTTCAGTTAGATAAGTGAAAACATTCTTAATTTTTAAAGCTGTTATCTATAAAAAGACATTAGAAATCAAAAAACAGTTTCAAAGAGTTGTTTATAATTCAATATAAGGAAGTAGTCATGTACATGTATTTGGTGCTTGATAAATATAATTACATCTAGAATTATAACAGGTTATCTAAGAATTTCTTTTTTTCTGAAACTCTAAGTAATAACATTTTATTAATAAAATAATTCACATTTTCAATCCATTCCTTTCTGAATTGCTTTTATCCAACAAATTTTTCATTTCTGAACTTACTCCCACTATTTTCAAAAGAAATTTGGTATGGAAAAAGAAATATACAATAATAATTGAGCATCTCTTAGGATGATTCAGGAAAGCCTAGTTATCCAGCAATAATTGTGTATCTGACATACATAAAAGACAGGGAGCCTATAAGAAATGTACCAGTTGTCATTTATTAAACCAGATTTAAATTGTTACATAGTTTTTTGCTTCTATTTTCTATAAGTAGAAAAGAATCTAGGTTAAACAAATTACAAGTTAGTGTTCTATGAATGGTATCTTCCTACCATTTTAAATTACTGTCATTTTATTAGTAATTTGGGGACATAGCACTTCCATCCCAGAGATAAAAAGGAGCTGTGTAACCCAGAAATGGCTGGGTCCAATAGTCAGCCTATCTATATATATTAAAGGCTAATATGCAAAGTGTCCCTCAGGAATTCAATCTGGAGACCAAGAGTTTGATTGCTTGCTGTGAGATGTGCTGACCACCAGGGGGCAGCGTGGAACAAAGGAAGACCCCGGCCAGCAGCTGGAAGGCCCCGATGGCCCTGATCACTGGTCAGGCCTAGAAACCCTACCCGTGCATGAATTTTGTGCACCGGGCCTCTAGTGTTCTCATAATTCCTCTGTATTCTCTTTTTCTACCTCCCTGAAAAATTCACTCCTTTAGGAGGAAGTGGAAGTTTATTGATGGTTTCCTAAAGATAAAGATATCTAAGTTTGGTTGGGATTAAGAGAGTGGGGTTCACACTGAGCAACACCATTCTCCCTAAAGCCCGTTCACCTCCCACATGCAGCCTGTCCAACCTCACTTTTGCTAGAGCTTTCAACTCTCCACCTTAAGACTCTTAAGTTTTACTTCCATACAACTGCCACTTGTCAGCAAACAAAGGACATTCTGGACACTGCAGTTCCCTGAATTCATCCTTGGGACGAGGGGAGCAGTGGGGGGGGTGTGGATTGTAAATATTTGCCTGCCACAGTCAAAATGAGCATAATATGACCAAATATGAAAAGAAGACAGAAGATAATGTATTTGTATTATAGACACTATAAAAGTTGTCTATGGCTTTTGATATTTACTTCTTTTTCACCTAAACAAATGCCATAAAAGATAGCATTGCTCTGTTGTTTTTAGTTGGAAGATAACAGACCACAACCATTGACTTGTTTATTTTTGGTAATGGTGGCAAAGTGGAGTCCTTGTCACTCTTTTGCACTGTCATCTTGCTCTTACCATCACCGCCCCCCATAATTTGAGAAACAGCTTATATAAGTTATAAGGCTATAGCTTGGAAAAGAAAAAAAAAATCTTGATGGTTTACATAAAAATCCATATTTCTGGCATCTACTGAAAATCTTCAAGCCCAAATTCCCACATGGTAACAATCAGCTAAAGCCAAGTGTTGGTCGACTGCTCATTTATATTTTCAGCTCTGAGTTCAGTTCTGCTGTCTACTGTGACTGAATCTTCTATGCAGGCCTTCCTCACTGGCTGATCCAACCAACTTTTGTGTTGTTTCCATATGTGCTCTTATTTTGAGACCATAAAAAAATATTTCTTTTCCATTTTAAAGTAATCTTTAGATAGATTTCAAAATTTTTTGTGTCTTAAAATGAAAACATAAGCTCTTTAAACAATTGTGTAGTGTTATAGCAATTTACAATTGTTGGGTGTGTCAGCTGCTGTTCTTTTACACAAAATATACTTATTAAGTTATCATAAAGAAACAGTAGTTTTAAAATTTGTTCTCACAAATACTGAAAGTACATTTTTTCACATTAAAGACATCTTGGATTATTTTGTTCCAAAACATAAAACAATTGCTTAAAGCTCTGAATTTTATTTCAGCACTGCATATGTCCTTAAAAGATAGCTTACAGTGGCTTGGAGAAGTTATGGCTGAAATTGGACCAGCCCATTTACAGAAACACAAGAAATGGAGTATCTTTGATATAAAACAAGCCAATGCTATCACTGATTATTTAAAAATCAGGTATGGATTTCTTTTTAGTCCCAATTATTTTTTTGTTTCATATCTTCTAGAAAATATCTTCTAAATAGAAATTAATTTGGTTTTTAGCAAAGTTTGACATTTACAGAAGTTATATAGTAATTAACCCAACCAATAATTAGAAAATATTCTAATCATCCATTCAATAAATAAAAGTTAGGACATTGATCAATTTAGCTAACTTGCATTTTTAAAAAGAGGTTCATGTTTGATAAGTATAGTTTTATTTAGAATTATAATAAATTGATCTATGCATTTCTTTTTTCTCTAAATCTCTAATACCATTTTATAAATAAAAGGATTCTTTTTGATTTATCAGACTTGATTACAATGGAATCTATATTTTATGTAGATGGCCTTAATATCAAAATTTCACATTTTAAAGAGCAATATTCTTCTCCACTTAAACATTTATTTTAAATGCTTTGTACTAGAAATTTAAAAGATTTATGTATATACTTCCTCAAATTTATTAGCTGTCTGGAAATATTTTGTAGTATTGACCAGTTAAACTCAGTAAGTTTTTCTTTCTGCATACAAAATGATGGTATATGGAGGGAAAGTATTTTTATTACAGTGATTCTTCATTGGTGAATTAAGAAATCTGTCTTTTTATTTAATCTGTCACAGGGTCTGCATTAGAGTCCTTTTTCTCTCCCAGGAAAGATAGATTTTAGAGTTTAAAAACATTTAAACAAGGGTTGGTGAAAATATTTCTTTTGTCTAACTAAAAACTTCCCCAGAATATCTTTGTTCTCTAATACTGTATACTGCAGTGTTTTCCAACTTTAAATTTTAAAATTTCAAAATAAAGCGTGCTGCATGATGTCCTTAGACATGCTCATGATTTGCTTGGCAAGGATCCTGGTTGTAGTCTGGAAGCTTTTTAAATATTAATGTGTTTAATATGATAAGATTTGTATACTGATTTCTGGCATGAATTAATAATGGCACAGGATATAATATGTTTTTATATAATAGCATTTAATATAATATGATTTCTTACCATAAAAACCTCTAAAGTGTGTCTCCCACTAAAAGCCACATTAGTCTTCATATCAATGAGAATAAAGCAATGTCCTTGTGTGGGGGGAGCAGAGGGAGTGGAAATCTAGACTGAAGGGAACCTGGTCTCAGGTCTTTCTGCCTCTCAGGGCTTGGGACATGGGCAGGGGGAATCCTCTGCACATTCATATAGCATCCTCCTTCCGCTTCTCTCTCTGTTTGAAACGAACAGAGAGAGAATGACCAGAATGACCAGAATGACTGGTTGCTATGAGGGGTACTGCAGCCAGCCAACCGGCCTGATAGTGGGGGTGGCGGCCCTCCCCCTGGCCAGATCAGGGACGGGGCTGGCTGGCCAAACTTCCATGTACCCCTGCCCCCAGCTGGCCTGGCCCCTGACTACCGCCCATCCTGATCGAGGGCGGGGCCAGCCAGCCAACCTCCCTCGTCCTCTCCCCCCCACCAGCCCGGTCCAAGAGCTTGTAATGGTCATTGGAACTGGTCGTTAACCACAGCAGCAAAACCCATGCGGGCACCATAATAACACCTTCTAGATGAGGGAAGATGGTGGCTCTTTTCTCTTTCATCTCATATCTCTCATCAATATACTTCTTACCATTTTATTTCAGAAAATGGTTCAGAGGAGATGTCAGTCCTAGTCACTGTTAGGTCCTAACCAGGATAACCACTTATCAAAAATCCCTTGTCTTCTTAAAAAAAAGTACCGTTTGAGAGATTAGTCATCATATAAAGTATACAAAATAAATCAGAACTGTTTTTGATGCTGTTAAATCTTTATACTGTGATTTTAAAGAAATTATACATTTTCAATGTACATGTTACATAAATAAAATATCAGTTAGTAGGATACCTGGAATTGATACAGAAGTTGTATAAAGAGAAATACATTTTTCTGTAACACCTGTTCAGAATGCCTCATAGATCCACAAATGTAAGTTTAGTGGCAATTAAATTATGTATTTTTCATTTTAATGACTATAAAGAAATTTTATAAATATGAAGCTAACTCAATTATTGAAAGTATGAGCATGCTTCAATTTAACCTGATATTAAATTTACTCAACCAGTGAAAACCCTCGTCAATTTAGGGAGAGCAGTTTTTAGAACATGACCCCATAGCACATGAAACTTAACTGGCATAAAATTGAAATCTCATTTGATACTGTTAATAGAGTTTAAATCAGTGATTTTTAACTAGTTTGCCATGCCATAAGAATTTTTAAAACATGCAATATTTCACTATTTATTCAGGGGCGCTGACCTCTTTTCCTTTATATTATAAAATTTAAAAATGACAACAGACAACTCAATAGCCATCCAGTGTAAACGAATCAAAATTATACCTATTTATTGTCAGATCAGCAAAAAATATTTTTTGATGTGCCACATAATTTTAGTATAATTAGTTTATGTGGCCATGAGATGAAAAAGGTTGAAAATTGCTGGTATAAATGTATATTCTGTCATGTGTCTGTGATTTTAAAAAAACTAACATCAAAATTCCTCCCCAACATTACTGTAAGTACTAATGAATCTTCTTGTGCAATGTACACATTTGCAAATGTTGTATACCATCTATATATATATAAAAGCCAAGTGGCCGGAATGACCAGAATGACCGGAACGACTGGCTGCTATGAGGCGTACTGCAGCAGGCCAACTGGCCTGATTGGGGGGGGAGGGGGGGTGGCCCCTCCCCCTGGCCGGATCAGAGGCAGGACTGGCTGGCCAACCTTCTGCAGCCCCTGCCCCCCGCTGGTCTGGCCCCCGATTATCCCCCCACCCTGATCGGGGGCGGGGCCGCCAGCCAACCTCCCTCATCCTCTCCCCCACACCAGCCCGGCCCTATCAGCCCCCAGGCAGAGGGGCCGGCCAGACATCACCCATGCACAAATTCATGCACTGGGCCTCTAGTATAAATATAAATACTGCTGTAGCTTTTTAATATAGGACATAATTTGGATATATACCTGGAAGCACACATCTTTCATTGTGTATTCTACCTATCCCCTGCAATTGGGTGAAGGTAATGTGCACAGGCATGTATGCAGTATGAGAAAATCAACACTGCCCCTTTGTGCACAACACAGAATTGAACTTTCTGGCATGGGGTCAGATGCCTTGACCCATTTTCATTCTGGGTATTTCATCTTTGATTTATGACTAAGACAAGCTGTTTAGCAAAGTAGTCTAAGGCTTGAGTCAGTGGGAAATCTAAAGGAAGAGGTGTGTTGATGTGTATGTATATGTTCCCCCACGCCCCGTGTGGCTCAGGGTTCAGGATCTGGAAGAGGGGCCACACGCAAATGAAAGAGACAAGAGATAATAATTTGGAAATTGGGGACCAGGTGAGAGCCCATCCCAAGAGGATGGACTCCGCTTGTGCTCAGGCCTCACCATCTTTTTATTTAATTTGGGATCCACCCATAGCCCTTAGGCAGGCAAGTTCCAGTAACAGGCAAACTATCTTATCAGTAAGGATTTACATGACTATCTGGTGGGGAAGTTGCTTTGCCAGGGCTTCAAGGGTCACCAGCCTTCCAGATTCCTTGTCCACACCTCTCTGCTAGTGAAGACAATAGGCGGCTTCCCACAAGAGGGAAGAAATGTACTCGTATTGTGGAGGTGTCACAGTTTGTTCCCATGGTAGGTCATCTAATATTTCTTGGTAAAGTTAGAGAACCCCAACCCAGGTGAGGACCAGTGTGGGGCAATGGAGGCAACTTGACCTGCCCCTGAGTAAGTGCCTCCCCCCTCTCCTCTGTCTCACCCTAGTAATGGCCTCACCTCAGCCTTTCATCTTTGATCACTGCATCCATGTCACGAATTTCCCTTTGTCATTGGAAAATCTAATCACTACATGTAATGAGGAGAATAATGCTGAAAGATGATGAAATTTCAGGAAGACTTATGAATTAACTTTGAATTGGAAAAGAAAAATTTTATACTAATTCACTGAGAGGAAGCCAAGCTATTTACAAAATACAGTTTTTACTTTCTACTCAAAATCAGTTATTGCCAGTGTAATCTTTTTAACCTTAAAACTTTCTCTAGGTAAGCAATGTAAGGATGGAGAATTTGAATTTATTTTGTTTCATTGAATCATCAAACTTCACTAATCTTGATGTATGTTCTAGCCAACAAATCAAAGTAATGTCAAAAGCTAAGTTAGTTTTTTGAATGTTGATGACTAATTTACTAGTAAATGTATAAGGTCCTTTGCCCCCCAACCCCCCCCCCCAAAAAAATACTGAGTGAGTCTGCACACCCATCACTTTTTAATGGATTGTGTTAGTCATGAGATCAACTGCAAATATAACTCAGAGAGACCCAGCTGCCTGAGGATTTCTTCATTGATTTCAAATGAATTGAAACTTTGAAACTTTGATCCATTACAGCATTCAGAAGAAGCCATTATTATACATGCTCTGTAGCTACATTTTGCAAATGTTAATTTCTCAGTTATATTAAAATCAATTTTCTTAAATAGCAAAAGACCAGAGTGAAAGAGAAACCACTAAGACAATTTTTTGTTCTTGGGCATTTTGCTGTATTATGAGTCTATTAATTTTCCCAACCAGCAGGAAGAGAATTAGAAAAATTCAAATATTATCGCAAACAGGATATTAGAAATCAGCCCTTCAGTAAAATTTTAACTTTTAATAATACATTGCTGAGATCTTTAAACATACTAGAAATATGTGTTTTGGATCTTTATAATTTTTTATACACTAACCACTTGATCTTTAGGGTAGGAATAGAAGAAATAATCTTCCTTAAATTAATTCCTCTCTTTGATGTATGATCAAATATTCTGCAAGAAAATCAGACATCTTCTAAATGGATTTTAGTTCATGTTGCATCATTTTTCAAGAGTTATCAGAGATTAATTTAATCTTGAAACAGATTTTAGAACGTGAGAAGTAGTAATTGATATGAAAGTAGGTTGTAGAATTCCATGCCATTTATGCCAAAGGAAACTGACTCCAGTTTGGAACAAAATTAAAATAATGTGAAGTTTGGTGTTATTTAGGAGCAGTGCATTATTTAGTTGTAAGCCAGGAAATGTTAAGGTGAATATAATTGCTCCCTCATTCCAAACCTACCTACTTATCACAGTTAATTTACTGATATTATTTTAGGTACTGTTATATTATCAATGTCTCAGAAAGTAAACCTTTAATTTCTCAGTACTTATAAATAAAATAAATTCTTAGTACTTATAAATTAAATAAATTTATTTTGGAATAAAGGAGGAATTAACTCCATAGTAGTGTTTAAGGTCTTTAGCTTGGTCAGTATGAACAGCTTTCCTTTAATAAACATTCTTACATATTTGCCTTTTTTCCTGAAATAAATGTTTCACAGTCACACATTTGTTTTATATTTCAGCTTATTTCAACACTACAAGCTATATGAGTTTCTGTTCTACTCTTCCAGGGAAGAAATTGTGCTAGGAGCTGAGGTAAGTAATCTATCTAGATGGCACCAATTAAGCTGAATCACTTAATGCATGCTGATCAGCATCTGGATCTTTAACTGCTTAAAGCAACTTCTTGTCAAGATTACTCAAGTGTTAATATAACCAACTAGTAGTTTACAAAAAGAATAATCACATAAAGTGACTTTGGATTAAGAAAATAAGCTGTCTTGGCATTAACACCATTGTTAAACACATATACTTTGTGTATTTATGGATTAATTCTTTGACAAAGCTCAAATGGATTGGGTATGTATGTCTTCATAAAAATAAAATCAGGAAAAGTGAGATAAATTAATTCAGTTAAATCTCTTCTAATTGCACATTTATTTTCCATCTACTCGTTTAAGGCTTAATTCAAGTCCTACTTCCTCAATGAAACAAACCTTCCTTAATTGCTTCATGTTGCAAAGGAAGGGTTTAGGCAAACTCTTTAATCGCATTCTATTATTTTATTCCAAGTGATCTCTTTTTGCTGAATATTGGCTACTTTTACCACACCAATTAGCACATAAATGCACTGTTACATGGTTTTCTAACTATTCCCTGTGGATTGATATTGTCAGTATAACCTGAGTGTAATTTCCTTGAAGAAAAGGGTCATGTGCTATATTTCTACCACAGCATGCAGTATAATGAAGGACATAGTAGTCTTTCAGTTAACACTACTTCAGTGCCTCAGTGGCAGTGCATAAAAATAGAAGCTCTATGGTCACTGGTTTACCAGGAGACACTTTTGAGCAGCCTTACATATAATCACATATTTATAAAGACCAGAAATGAATATGTGTAAGGGAACACCTTAAGGAGACTAAAAATGTCATTAAAATGTGTTTCTTAGATACTCTACTACTTTAGGAGACTACATTGCCTAAAAGTATAAGGGATAGGAGTGGCCATATTTGCAAATAAACAGTGAATAAGGGGATATTTATGTTATCTTTATAATTTTCCTGATATTAAGAACCAGTCTGATAGAATGTGCCAGAGCATTGTTATTCTACTGTTTATAAATTGCTTATTTCATGAACATTTCAGTCACCATCACTCACCCTCCATTTGGATACTTGTTCTAATGGTGCCCTTTTAAAAGTGAGCTGGAGGAAAACAAGGAACCCTTTTGCTTTTGAGTTTCCTTAAAATTTCTTCTTTGCAATATCCTGGTAGCTTAAATGTCACTTGACGAATTTTCACTGAAAACGTTTCCATTTCAGAATTACATCATATAGTGTGACAGTGTTGCAATAATTATCAGTTTGGAATACGATCCAATCTCATCTATTTAGCAAAACTTTGGGAAAATGATAGTGGCTTCAACAGCAGCATAAGCAAATATTTAGAATTATCAAGGAAAATTTCATAAAGAACTCCCTTTTCCCTTTGTTAATTGCACAATCATGCCTTTCTTCTCTGCTATAAGGATATATTTAGGTGACATTTATGCTCATGGAAAGATAAAGTGGAGAAATTGGACAGGGATTGGCTCCTTATTTGCCATTATCTTGTATTTTCTGCAAGCTGACCAGAACTATAAAAATTATCTTTACGAAGATAGTGGATCTTCAAGAATTAGATCACTCATGGATTTTTAAAGGATTAACCAAAGCAGTTATTATAGTACAATATTTTATGGGATTTTAAAATTATCTCATAACTCTGCAAATATCTGTGGTTTTTTCATTAACAATCTTTTATGGAGGAGGCAAGAACCTGCCCCCCTAATGTGACTATTC